GATATATGAATTGAAAAAAAATAAAAATGACGTGGATGGCATAACCACATTTCTAATATCTGTATATTCATATATTTGTAATCCGGGGATATTATATCTTGCATAGCTTCTATGTAAATATTATTTATTCAAAAAGTCAATCTTCTAAAGTCATTTATTTTTTATTTCAATAGTATTAACAAAATCAATGTTAGAAATGTGTATTGGAAATCTGAGGCTAATCAATTTTTATTTTACTTTTCTAGTTCAGTTGGTTTTATTGTTTTTCTTAATTTCATAAGGTTATGATACTAAACTAGGTAATACTAGGTTTCGTTATTCATCTAATTTACCTATTGTGTTTCAATTAGTTAGTATAGATTAAAAATATTCTTTTAAATAAAAAAAACTTCATGAAGTAAACAGTTAGTATGAACAAATTTACTTAACAGTTACTTCAAATTTTAAATTTCGCATTTTATAACGAACAAATACATTTGTTTAATAGCTCAAATTAAAATTTTAGAGTCAAACATAGGAGAAAAAATCGACTTGGGATACCTGGACAAAGAAAGATAATTTTTAATATTTAACTCCATTTAAATATCTTTATATACAATTAACAGGTTATGTACTGGTACATTAATAATTGATTTAATTAAAAACAATTTTATTTAGTAATAATACTTAATGGTCTAAGTATAGGTACGTAGGTAATATATTTTTATTATTATAATTTTCCTCTGGTAACCAAAATTAAATACCTATTTGAACCCATTTAAACCTATTTAAACCTATTTAAATTACCATCTTTTCCGATACACCAATACGCAGCCAGATATAGGTGAATACGAAACTACGAAACTTATATAGTGCTTTAGTTCATCTAATTGAACATTGATTGTTTAAGGTTACCATTCATAACTCAAAACAAAAATAACTAGCTATTTGAAGTAAGGCTAATGCATTTGTCGTTTCATTCAGAATCTAAAATCAATAATTATAATAATATTACTGACAGTAATATTCACAACCAAACTAGAATATCTGCTCACCTGCAGGTACGTACAACAGGTAGGTACTTGCCGCTATTAAAGTATACGAGTTGTCACCCAAAATATATTGTGCTATTATTCGAAAACAGTTGGGTTTGATGAATTTGTTCGGCTAACGAGAATAATAGCAATAATATAATGGCAATCGTTTTTGGCGCACACATCAGTAGTTCCATTGTTTTTGGTTGTTCTTCGACATCGCGGAACAATTAACTGCACCCTGTGATTTGTTGATGCAATTAAGTACAATATGTTCGATAGAATTATGGGTAAAACCATTAGTTTTAACAGTTTCATACGCCATACAAATTGATTTCGTCGTCTGGTTAATCATTCAATATACATTATAAATAAATCATGTATTGGAGCTCACTGCTGCAGAATATTGAATTTTGAGAATTTACAGAAAATAAGCTAATTTAAATTGGTATTTTTTTTTTTTGTACTTACCTGCGATATGAACCTTTATGATCTATTTTAATTATTATTTTTTACTTTCACGAAAATCAGTAAAAGTTTTCAATTTAAAAGCATTTTAGGTTTCTATGTAAGTATAGGTAAGAATAGTGTATGATACGTCGTGTTTGTCGTCTAAACTTGAAATTTAAATTGATACTAAGTAGTAGCATTGATTATACATTCAAAGTTAGTAGGTATAAATTGGTTAAATCTTTCAAAATTTGAAATTTGAAATTTACAGATATATAAAGTATTATAGTTTATAACACACAGGGCGAATCTTTGAAATTATAATATTTTACAAACTCATTACCTGCTCGCTTTACAATTTAAATTTTAAGCAATGGAATAAAACCCCCGTTAAGACACGGACAAATTGAGTTATCCTAACATTTGGTTATACGTCAATTTATTTTTAATATTAAAACTAAAAAAACTAAAAGTGAACTGGTGCTTTACAAGTTACAACGCACTTGTAATAGACGGAGACACCGAATAATGGTATGGCGTCATCATAAACGACTGGTAAAATATCATTCAACAAAACCGATCGCACAACAATATGTACATATCAGAAACATTCTACGAACTTTGAAAAAACATTTTATTTTCAGTGCATATCTAAATTTACCTATAAATTGTTTTTGAATGTTTCGATTGTTCCGTTTGTTCCGGCTTCAATATTTATGAAAACTAGTTTATATATAGGAAATCAGACAGACGTCTCATGAATATGTTTAATGCTTATAATAAATTCCGTATACGAAGCTTCCGATAACGCATGTTTGTAATAAACTGAGGCAAATTTGATTCATAACTCTGACACAAAATATAATAATATATTGACACGCAATCACTGATGCTGAGCCTGCGTTGATAACGTCTGACATGTGATTGATGCCCCAAAATAACAGACCGAAGAAAAACTAGATAACAATCACGTTTTTGAGGAATTTTGAACCATAAAAACTGAATTTATATACATTTATTGGAAAGAAAATCATTCACTGCTATTTTATTTGACAATACACAATCATTGTACGGTTATAAAGTATTTGTTTTTAATATATTTATCAAACGTTAATAAAATAACAATAAACATAATAATTGTTTTAATGAAATGGTATGAAACAGTTAAAGATTATTCTAGGGTAAAAGTTATAAAATGCCAACTAAAAAAATTACAACGTAAGTCCATTTGTCATTGAGTAGATCACTAGATTGAACGTGTTAAATTTTATTTTGTTGTATAATATAATTGCATACCTACCAGCGGTCGTAGGTTGCCTACGATAAACAATTCTGAGCGGAGATGATGTGACAGTGTCTCTATATAGGTATATTTGTAATGATATAATATTATAATTTATAATTTAATTATATTACTGTAAGTAATTTATTTTTCTATTAATAATACTATATTTCAAACCAATTCTGTCAAATATATCGCATACATTATATAGGTAATAATGATTATATTATTAAAATATAATGTACTATAGGTGCTAACCAAGCACGTTAACCACCATTCTTTCATTTAAAAATTAATTAATTAAAATTTTGCTTCTTAAAAGGTTTTAATATACTTAAAGATCATATTTCAAAACTTTTGAAAATGTTAGTACTACTACTACTACTACTACTTAAGGAATTCCCTTTGGTGATACAAACTTCAATCTTTTTTTTTTTAAATGAGAACATCCCTAGTTATTAAAATGCTTATATTAAGGATATAATAGTTCACAAGAATGGTTTAATAAAAAAATAAAATAGCTGTAATATCGGGTCTAGTATAATACAATATTATACTTGGACCAGTTTTTTATCAATTGTAAATTTTGATTGATTAATATAAATTACTAAAATTTTCAAATTACCGTAGCCCCCATAAAATCTTCCAAACCCATTATCATGGACTAATAATTATTCTTAGTACGTTCAGTTAAATAGCTCAATAACTACTCGTTCAAATTTTGATTTTGATTTTTTATACGTCGATAAATTCAGAAAAACTATGCACTGAATAATTTACAGTATACAAAAGGAGGTTGTCATTTGAAAAACAGAAGTTTGTACCTCCACAAATCAGAACTTAATGAGTATAAAAAAACTTATTTTAAAATATGGTCTATAAGCATAATATTTAAAATTTCCGAAAACAAGATTTTGAATAAATGTATTGTTGAAGGAGAAAAAGGGGATGATCATGCTTGGTGATACATTCTGTATTTTATATTGTTATTTTTAGTAGATAATATGTTAGTAATGAACGTACCGTGGAACGATGTGTTGGTGTAAATTGGATAGGTATAAAAGCTTAAAATGTATTTTAATGTTCTGGGAATATATTTGTGAAAAAAAATAACAAATATACGAATTGGTGAAAACACTTTACTATTACTAATTATTACAGTGAAATAACAAATCGTTATTTTTTGTTTGAATCTTAAATTTTGTAAAAATTTGAAATTAAAATTAAAAATATAGTGCATATGAATTTTCGATATTTACAAATGTCTATTATATTATATTATATTATATAGTAGACCTTATGATGAACCTTCTAAAGAACCTTATATTATACTCCTAATTTTTTTAATGGAATATAAACATATAAATATACAGATAAACATTTACAGAGAATTGAAAAAAAAAACTAAACAAACATTAACATTTTAAATGTATAAAATTATAAACAGATCAAAAACATACAAAATATTTTCAAAATTATTTTATCATGTCTTTAAAATGTTTGATGAAAATATAAAATGTTATTAATTTTTCTATTACAACAAACAAATAAAATTGATTTTGTCAAAAACTGGTATTCCGGAAAATATTCCTGTTTTATTTTTTATTTTTTTCGATTATATTATTGAATAGTACCTAATGGAAATGTTCTACTTTGTTCAAACTTACCTACTAGACCTAATTCGTTACCCTAAACTCTCAAAGTTGAAGATTAAACCATTTTTACCCCTTGAATAGGTAATTGAGGGACACAAAAATCAAAAACACATGCACTGTAAAACCAATTCATCAGTCCTCCGCTTAGAATTTGAAATAACTAAACAATATTCATATCAATCCATCGTTCAGGATTCATTGACATTTACAAGCCGATTACAAAATTCATTTTTAATAATAATTTGATGGGATTCCGATATGTTATTATCATTCATAAAATTATATTATGTATTCAAACGAATAAAATATTTAATTGTATCGTATTGTATTGTTTCTAATGTCTAGACATTATAGCCATTCTGCCATTGTGCTATTTTATTTACAAATTATTTTATTTTACATCCAATAGTTGGTATACAAAAATAAATAATTGTTTGCTTAAATATTTTATTAAGTCGAACTTTGGGTTGGACTAATTCACAATAATACAATAATAACAATTTAATTGAACCAATCAAAGTGTTCGATTTAATGTTATTTAATGATTTTTATGTCCATAAAACGTTTCGTATGTTATTTTATTTTGTTTCTTTTTTTTAGAAAATTGAAGTGCCATTTTTGGAAGCAGTGAAAACTACATTAGGTGATCGGTTCACAGAAAACATCGAAACAATATATAAAATCACCATTAAACTCATCATAGAGACATTAGTCAAAGGATATACGGAAGCCACTGGGCCATGAAAAAATAACCACACAGGAGCTTAATGAAATCGTAAATTTCATATCATTACAAAATATGTTCAAGTGACCGAACATAATAATATTATATTCCACTGTCAAACAATATGTTTTAATATGTCATTTGGAAATTAAATTTAAAAAAAATATATATGGTAAGCTCAAATTTAATTAACTGAGCGCAATTTGTATTAATGTCATAATGTCAATTTGATTATCAACGTGTACCTATACATATAACGAAATCATATTTATATAATTATAAACATATAAATAAAAATGTGTAATTATTGTTATTGATTGTTAATTGGCTATTATTATTTATTACTATAATATTAAATCAACGTTGTATACATACTGTATGTTATATAGTGACGAGACTAGATAAATATATATATATGTATGTATATATTATATTTATATATATATTAGATAAACAATATAATTTGAATTTGAATTGTTTTTGTTTATTTATTTTTTGATTATTTATATTTGGAAAATAATTGTCTTAGTATTATTCCATTCTGTGTTATGGCTTTACTGCAACAGTCATTGCGCGAACGTTTGGTTGCATTTGATTCAAGTGAGTTTCATTACCTACATTAATTGTGTACCGTATAATACAGATTTTATGATTAACTATCAATAGAATAATATTAAGAATAACAATAAAGAACTGATAATTGTTACATGCAATATTATACACACGCACATACATATAGGTACCTAAACGTCATAAATTATTATGTTGTGTATTACAACTACGTGTCTACGTCTATACTTTCATAAAAGGTTTCTCGTTTCTTTCGCGTCTTGTTATGTTTTAAACAAAATGTAGTTTGCCCGGAAACTTTAGATGGCGACCAAAGTGTTTACAAACGGATTGTTGACCAGTTGGAAGATCTACAGCGGTTTCACCAAGAGTTGATACGAACAGCAGAAAGTGGCGTCAGCGAAGACCCTAAAACGTTCGAAAGTAAACAAAAGGGTATTTTAACAATGTCAACACGAAAAGGTCCTTCGACCACACCCCAGTAGCCGCAGGACCTTATAGCCTCATTAATTTCCCCTCGAGATCTCCACGACCGGTGACCGATTTTTCAAACTTTCCTTGTTGGGATGAAATGCATTTCCAAAGACTTGACATAACTACCCTAAAAAAAACCGAAAAAAAAAATAAATAAAATAGTAGCCTATAATATTGTGTTTGGGTGACAATGATAAATCATGAATGCCACAGAAAGTTAAAAAATATCTTGGATAAATAAATAACTCTTAGACCGTATATGATGGGGTGATTATTATTTGCAATATATTTTCTCTTTTATTATTAATTTCTTTCTTGTGGAATTCGCCGACAATATATGCATAATTTAAATAAATATACCTATATAATAACCACGTTTTTTTTTTTTATCATTGTAAGTCTTAGGTAGGTATTATTTCATTTTAAATATTTCAATAAATGGCAATTCTTCGTTTACATTTTATAAGCCGCGAACCTATTTGAATATTTTTGAGTGTAAATATCGAATACTGAAAGAATAATTTATTATTCATGCTTTATAGGCATTTTATGGTTGAAAAAGTGCAGTAAACATTCGAAGGGTATTCGTTGCTGTCGCTATCCTACTAATATCCAAACAATAATACCCTTATAAATAACAAATTATTAGTTTAATATTCAACTCGTGTAGGTAACTTAATATTTTCAGAAAAATATGCTACTTTGGCATAAATAATTGAAAATAGGGATTTTATTAAAAACAACAATTTTAACAAAAAGTATGCGCTTAGCCGCTTAGGTGTAAACAGAATGTCATCGTTAGTCAAAATCGTATTTTTGGGTAATTCAATTGTTTCGGATCAACGTAAAAAATTTAAAAACTCAAAAACTGATTGATAGTAGTATGATTATTTCCCGTTAAAATATCATCATATTTTTCCTGATGCTACAAAATTGCAAAAAACTTCACAGTTGTAAGTTTTAAAAATCAAAAATGATGGTAACATTTTGGTTAGTTTTTTTATTATTGAGCTCTTCATAACGTGATTACGTGCTCCAAACTGTATACGGATTAAATTAGTTTGTATCTGCTAAATGCTTATTATACTAATATCATGTGTCTATATCCATATAAAGTTACCATAGTTACTGCAGCAAACCATTATTTATAGATGAATAAATATGAAATAATTAGTTGGATACCCGAAGTAGAAGGGTATATTGACGTACCTAATACAGTTAATTAAATATAAGTGTACTATGATACAAGCTTTCCGGGGTAGTCTTAAGTATTTTAAGCTGAAAGCACTACGAATGTCATTATACTCCATAAATATTATACATACATATTAAAAATACCTAATCGAAAGCAATATTTTATGACTAAATACTAAAACATATTTAAGAATAAATACCTATTAAGATATTTTAATATTTATAAGTACTACGTGATTATAAAATTATGAACTCAATATATTATTATTATGAACCATACGCAATCGACTTTTACAGTATTTTCACTAGCACGAGATTAATCTGGTTATTGAAAGTTATTGGGTTTCGATAAATTCAGCTTCTGACATAATAACCTAATAATCCTATAGTGGTCAATATAGCCTCAATACACCAAAAGTAAGACCCTTGTCGTGGGTTTAAAAAGTTTTTAATACGGAGATAATATAAATTATCTTACTTCGTTAAAATTAAAAGTATAAAAATAAAACTAAATAAACTAAAACATAATCCAATGCCAAAGTATCTTTAGTAGTCCAATGCAATGCTTTTATAATTAAATGTTATAAAATATTATAATATTATCATCAAATTCATTTAATATTTTATGATAATGATGTTATAATAATTATTGTCTTCGTCATAAGGCATTATATTATTACCAGCTGTACCTGTAACCCAACTTCACCGGGAAAAAGTTAACAAATATAGAAGTGATATTCCTTGGTTTCAGTGTACCCCAGTTAACGGGGAAATCTGCGTAGGTGTACCTAGCTTTGTGAACTAATTCTACCGAGATGGCTCCGTCGTGGATTGGATATAGCACTTGGTATATTTTCGAACTCGGCTAAAACTACTCTCTAAACTTTTCTGATATTTCTAAAGACAATCCCTGACATTTTCTTCGATATCGGTCAAGCCGCAATTGTCGAGCACCTATAATATAAGCTATACAAACATTTATTTAAATATGTATAATATGATATGCAGAAGCCTTTTTTATTTCTGTAACCAATACAACCCGTATGTATGAACAAAAACTATTCGATTTCCGTGATAAAAAACAAAATGCCTGTGTGAACCTCCGTATATCAACCTATATAGATTGAAAAACGGAGCTATATGAACACTTAACGATTTTTGAGAAATATGTGTGTACGTGTTGTGCTAATTAGATAAGTTGTTCTGAAGATTAACTACTATTAACAAACGCACAATAATTTTTATGTATAAAATAAAAGATAATTTTATAAAATAAAAAGTTCTAATATCGCTTTTTAACATAATTTATTTACGTGGGTGAGTATAATTATAAATTATTACCTTTTTTTTTAATACATATGACCTATTTAGTTTTTTTATTATTCCGGCAAGCTAATGTAAAAAAATAAAATAAAATTACTTAATGACTATCCCACATTATTCTTCGCACTCAAGAATTAATTTTGAAAGACGAAACATTTTAACGTTAGTCAAAGACAAATGATGGAGAGTAGAATAAACTAATATAACATTTATTTTTCTAAAAGTTAAACGATGAACTTTTATTAAGAAATTCTAAAGAATTCTCTAAAACTCGATTATTTTTATTTTTATCAAAATATAAAGCAATAAAAAGAGGCACACTACCGGAATTTTGAAGGCTCTTCAACTACCCTTATTTTTTTATTATCGAACCAAGCTTAAGAACGTCCGATTATTTTTCCAAATCACGTGCCATCAAATCTTATTGGTAATTGTGGCTGACAGTTTCATTTCCAATAAAACCATCTTGTTTTTTAAAAAGACGTCAAGATAGAATCAGTCGTCTTCTAGTGGTCTCCGTTATTCACATGCCAGACCGTTGAGAAATCGCGTTTCTTATACTTTCAATTGTGCTAGTCTCGAGTTAACACTTAAACGTACGATTCGTTACAAAAATATAAAAAAAGCACAGTATTGCCGTTTACTGTGTGATATTTTTTAATGTATTTCATTTTAATAGCTGATTCTTTGTTATATCAATAATTAAAAAAAAAAAAAAAAAACATTTTTACTATTAAATTGTAAATATTTCCTATTTGATTGAAAATTAAATTAACAAACCAATTTCGTAAATAATGGAACATGGGAAATTATATAGAAAATATTGGAATATGGGTAAACATAAAAAAATTGGATACTCATATAAAATCAAATGTACAAATTATTTATCAATGTCATGCAGGGGAAAAATAAATTTTACCGTAATACCTAACTATGAAGTTTTATAAAAAAAAAACACACACAAATTAGTAATAAAAACAATAGAAAACTTTTAAAAAACATAAAAAAAAAGGGTTACAAATTTACAATATTAAACATAATACGCTGCTTATGATTGTAATTTGAAATATTTAATAAAAAAGTACATGATATATAACATTGAATTTCAATACTTTTCAGCATTCTCAACTTAGATAAATATTTTACGAATGGTCTAAATTTTGTTTTATTCATGCATTAAAACTGCAATTCACATCATATAAAATTAATAAAATAATTTATATAGTAATGACAATCAAAATACGACATAAACTGATTCGTGGGATATGGTACGTGAGTTCACTTATATAGTTGATAGGTGAATAACTAATATAGAAAAATAAATGGAAAACAATTTGATGTAAGGGGGATGGAAAAAAGGCAATCAAAAATTAAATGGGAAAAAATGACAAACTGCTGTTGTTCCATATGAAGAATGAAGATTCTAAACGACAAAATACTGAGTTTAAAAATATAATATAATGTTCGTTATTATTTATTTCTATTACAAATTTGTTTTATTTGCGATACCAGTAATAATTTATAATACCACCATAAGAATAAATTAGATAATTTAAATTATATTATGTTATTTTCTCGTATACTCCTGTTAAGGCTTTACTTTTAGAAATTAATTAATTTTTTAAAAAAAAACTCATCCGACTTTAATAAGAATTTAAAATCCAGACATAAACTGCATTAGCATTTTTTTATAAATCGGTTACTGAATATTACCTAACTAATAACAAATATTAATATTTACTGAAAATAACTTTGACATACACAGCTTTTCTGCTAATGTTATAAAAATTCTTTTTATAAATATTAAATATCTTTAAATACCTCTATCATACAATTAAATAACTATACAGAGTTATTGATTTATTTACCATGAACATAAAAATAATAATCCTTTGTTTGTTGATGAACCTTTTTTTTAAATCGTTTAAATTTATTTAAAAGAGTACCTATAACATTTTTAAATATAGGTAAATTAAAATGTGTCAGTAAAATACTCAAAGATCAAAGTAAACTCCAATTTAAAATTGCCTTAGAACATACCTATAATTAATTATAACACTGTTATATAGTGTAATAAACAACATTACAAAAAAACGATTTATTAAAACGATTAATTAATATGAATAATATCTCTTTCCATAGAAGATTTGGAGGGTGTACAGAAAGATACGTTTAAATCAACAAAATCTCTGTTGAACACATTTGAGAATATAATCTGTGCAGAGTATCGTCAAAATATAATGTTTACAAAACCTTGCATCTCAAATCACTTAAATGAAATTGAACTTCAAACTAGGTGCGTTAGTTAATATAACTTGTTTCCATTCTAATATTATTTATGTATTAAAAAAGAATATTTCAGAGCTGATTCACTGGTAATCACACATCACGTACAAAATGCAATAGATGAATGCATCAGAACTAAAAGTAACATTAATAGAATCGTCATGAATCACGATCGTGTCAGACGCACAAACGGGAGAGAGGTAAAAAC